TTTCTACTCCCGTAAAGATTTACACCCTCGGAAACCCTGTACAGGGTCGCTATGGGTCGGAACCGACTCGATGGCACTTAACAACAACAACAACAATGACAGCAATGAAGATGGTGGGGTTTTGTTTGTTGGTGCTTGTTTGGTTTTCTTTTTCTTCTGGCTGCTTCAGACTAGGGAAAGGAGAGCAACTGGAGTGGTGGGGGCCCCTGAGTACAAAGGCGAGGGGACTGGATTGCCCCCATATTGCCTCCATGTAACACTTTGATTCTTCGGCCTAGGACCCAGTTCTCTACAGCGGTGCCATTTGAGATCTGTGGCCTACAGGGCTAACCCATCCCCTGGAGTTATGTAACCCAGCCTGCCATAGGAGGGTGGGTGAGGCGTAAGTGCTGGTCAAGTTGGATCTCACCCAGGACAAGGATACTGACCAGACATTGTGCCTTGTGTTTCCTCCCTTCCAGCACCACCGCTTCGCCACCCCCACTGCCCCTCCAGCCCACGCACAGCTCCAGGACTGCCAAGCCCCCCCTTCAGCTCTCTGACCAGCTTCAGCCCCAGGACCAGCCACGTCTTCCCAGCAGCTCAGCACTCAGCCGTTCACAACCCACCATGAGTGTCTTCACTGCCATCGCTGCTGCCGCCACCTTCATGCTGCACACACTTGGGCCCTCCTGACCTCGGCCCTCCATATGGAGAAGCCAGAGAAACAATAGAGGGTCTGCAGCCACCCCCACAACCACCGTCACCACCTCCAGGGGTGTCTGACCCCTCATGGGCAATCCAGGCGGGACCAGTTAGAACACTACTAGTGCTTTGTTATACCCGAGTTACATCTTCTTTTTTGTAGAAGGATCTTAATTTCCCATAGTGCTATGGGACTATTTTGTAAGATATGTGTCCATATTAAAAAAAAGAAAAAATGTATTTATTCTACCATAAAACTATTTTTATGTGGCCTATGTTAATAACCCTGTAATTGGCCCCAACACCAACCCAAGAGGTAGACCAGGTCTCCAGGACATCTGTGACCTGGTGTGATAGACTGTGATTTTGAACTGGCTTGTCCCAAAATCAGTGGAAGCCTCCCATCTCTCGGTTTGGTTTTTCCCACGCTCGGGCCCCCAGCGGGAGGGGGAGGCAGACAGACTTAGCTTTTGTGAAGCTGGATTTGAAAGCCAGAGGTGTGAACATGACATTCCTGTCCTTCCCTCTCCTGGGTGCATCCTGGGGCCTGGGAAGAGACTTTAGGAAAAAGATTGCTGCTAATTTTTAAAACCCTGAGTGTCTGTGAACTCTTCTCCAGAGCTTTTGGTAAGTGTTTTTACCAAAGCACTGGGGTGGGCAGGCAGGGAGGGGACATTGGTGTTGAGGGAGGTGGCTCCCCAGCCCCATTTGACCAAGGGTTACACGAAGATCCAAAGAGAGGAAGGGGGTCGCCCCTGGTCACACAGCAAGTGGCAGAGCGAGGACCTGAACCTAGACCTTTCAGCTTGGGTTAGAGAAGAGGCTGTTAAAGTCATAGTCAAGTGGGGTGAGCTTGGCTGGGCAACGGAAAGATGCTTTTGTGGAGAAGGGTCCTAGAGGTCACATGATAGTCGCTCTAGTGAGAACTGCCATCTGTCCAAAGCTGGTGGTGTGGTCAATACTTTGCACACTATCACTGATCCTCTACCTGCTTCTCTGAGATATGAGTGTCCCTACTTTGTAGTGGTTACGAATCGGGCTGCGAACCTTAAGGTCAGCAGTTCGAAACTACCAGCCGCTCCGCGGGAGAAAGATGAGGCTTTCTACTCCTGTAAGGATTTACACCCTCGGAAACCTTGTACAGGGTCGCTATGGGTCGGAACCGACTCGACGTCACTTAACAACAACAACAACAACTTTGCAGATGAGGAAACTGAGCCACCTAAACAGGTTAAGGGTCTTTCTCAAGGCCACCCAGTTAGTAAGGAGCCAGGTTCTGACCCCAGAGTAGCATTATTCAAAAGGGATGCTTGTCTCTTGGACCATGTTCTATCTATTCTCCCTGCACAAGGAAGCTCCAAGGGAGCAGACCTCATCCAGGTGGGCCTGAACAGCTTTTCACTCTAGCCAAAGAGACTGACCACAGCTACTCACATTGGCCCCGCCAGACAAGGGGCTTGCTCTAGCATCAACGTGCACCCTGTGCTCCATGCCCCAACTTGCCATACCTTGGAGCCAATGAGAGGTTTTTTTGCCAAACCTGAGGCTAAGAGTTGGGGACAGCTGTGAAGGGCTTGAGGAAGCAGATAACTGAGACTTAGAAAGGGTGATGGGGCTCCTCTGCCCAAAAGGTGGGGTGACTGAGAATGAAGAATACCCAGCTCTCAGTTGTGAACCCTGAACAGAAAGGACCTCTCTTTTGACAGACAAGAATAGCAGTGAAAGTAATTATAAGGCCCAGGGAAGACAGACAGTTCTCGAAGGCTGTGCAGCTAATCGGGTCTGCTGACTCCCAGCTTCACTGAACCATAGGTTTTCCCTGGCAGGCTTCAAACAGCTGATTGATCCCAGTGTCCAGCTCAGCAACTGTCTTAACTCTGAGATGGGCAGCTCATTAGATGGTCAGACATCTCATGGGCACCTTGGCAAGCAACCAAATTCTTTATCAGTTTGGTCCCAGGTGGATGTGTTTGCCTTTGAGACCCGAAGGGAGTCCTAAACTCTGCTTTTGAGGGTCCAGCCAACTTTATGGGCACCACGCTGTAAACTGAACATGAACCTAGCCAGAACTGGAGTCCATTTATCTTTGGCAAAGATGAGACTTCCTCTGTGTGAGCGGGAAGGAGCTTAGCTGACTTACATAGCAGGCTCAGAAGGGCTGTTGGACATCAAACATATCGTGCAGAGCAATATTTGGATGAGATAAGTGTAAAGGAATTAGAAACATACAGGCCAGATTCCCCTCTGTTTTGGGCAGAGTGTGTGGTTAGATGTGGCGAGATGGAGCTTGAGGTTAATTAAAGATGAAGCATTTGGATAAACAGTCCAGGCACCTGACAGTGTGCCCAGATCTGTGCCAGGCACAGGGCCAAAGACGTACACAATTGCAGTATGTAATTACCAAGCGAGCACACTAAGTGCCAGGCTCTGTGTTGGAGCCAAATTTAACCATCTTTCCTGGCTTAGAGGACCTCATTATCAAGGTAGAACAAGCAGCCGCATCCTAGATGGCTTTGTTAGAAGGAACTTTAGAGATCACCCTGTCCAGGCCCCTGACTTCAGGCAGATTAAACCCCAAGGCTCTGTGAAGCTTGGGGATCCCAGACTCTCCCTCAGTTAAACAGTCAAGCGTTTACAGAAAGCTGGATGGGCAACAATATGGATAGGCGAACTGATAGAAAGATATGTGCCAACAGGAGGGCCAGATCCAAGGTGGGTCAGACATCTGCAGGCAGTTTGCTAATCCCCCAGGACTATCTGCTGGCCAGGGTTGGAAACTTAACTGAACTTCCTGCCATCCGTCCTAAAGGTCTGAGGCACAGAATCCGGCATCTGCTTGGCTACGGCAATTGCAGTCTCTCATCCTGGGCCAGGGTTGCACTTTCTATCACTCACACATGCACCTTTGGAATGATCTATCTACCACTAATGACACTTTTTTTCCAGCATATTCCATGGACCTATCTTTCTTATAAAGGTTCCTGTTGTTGTGAGAACACTGTGTACATTTCTTAGGGCTTTCACAGTTGACCTTGAGACCGACATAGGAAGACAGAAGGACTGTGCCTCTCTAGACGGAACCATGTTTTCTAGAATAGACAGGATATCTCTTCCTTCCCTGGCAGTCCCCTCTACTCTCTTCTAAACACTCATCCTTCAAGAGTCCCACTTAAGGATTTCTTTCTCCAGGAAGCCCTCTTTGACTCCTTTGGGATTTCTTAGCATCTCTCACACAACGCCTGCTGCTCAGGGTTGTGACTGTCTGTATGTGTATGCTCCTACCAGACTGTGAGCTCCTCGATGGTAGGATTATGTGGACATGACTGTGTCCTCACCAGGCAAAAGGCAGTGTCCGCAGATGTACATGGAGGGAGAAAAGGAGAGAAGGAGGAGTTAAAAAGCAGTGAAGAAAGGGATGAAATGAGAGAGGCAGGCATTAGCTCTGGCAGTGGAACAATTTCCAAAACTTCAGAGGTGACCAATTGGGTTACTCTTAAAAGTAGTGACTTATCTGTTACTAGAGGTATGTGAGCAGGGGCAGTCAGCCCATTGGGTAGAATTAGAGGAAGTGAAATTTTGGCAAGGGATTGGTGTAGATGACCTTGAGAGTTCCTCCTGGCTCTATAATACTCAGGTTCTTTGAACATCGCTATTTACCCAAATTTTCATTTAAGCAGCCAAAGAAATCACTCTGGCTGGCTATCTAAACCAGTAAGGTTCAGGAATGAGTCCAGCTTCACACCTCCTGTTCTTCAACAACTCAGCTGGGTCTGATGAGAATTGGCAGGCTTGCTTGATGCCCTCAAGCCGAGGGGCCTCTGTGAAGTGGATATGGTGGGGGGAGGGCTGAACTGAAACCCAGGCTCTCTGACCCCAGAGCTCCTTCCCTCTTTGCCCCACTGACCCCAGTGAGACAAAAGAGGGCTCAAGGGAGCTAGGCCCTGTCTGGCCTTTTCCCAGGACAATTAGCTCACCCTCAGTTTCCCCCACCCTTTCTCCAAACACAGGCTCTTCCTTTCCAGGGACACCCTTGATACTCCTCTGCTTTGCTTAATGACCTTGGGCAAGTCTCATCCCTTTTCTGTGCCTCCATTTCCTCATCTGTCAAATGGAGGTCTTGTTCCAATCAGATATGTTCTGATGGGTCTTGGGGGTATGTGCAAATTTGGGGGCTCCCTAACATTAAGGGGTGACTCCTTCTTGGGTTCAGTGTTTGGCTTTCCTCCAGGGTCACAGACTGGCAGGAGACTAGGAATATGTGGCAGACAGGAAAGATGGTTGACTAGCTCTCCATGAAGGTCCCACTCCATCCCACATCCTTTGTTCTAGCCCTGCTGCAGAGAACACGGGCTTTAAACAGGACCCATGATTAAGATGTTTCCATACAGCTCCCAGAACATCTTGGACCCACAGCCACTGGAGCAAGCAGAGGCTGACTCTTGGCCAAGGAAGATTCTAGTTCAGTGAAGGGGGAAACAGTGCCCACTGCTTACTCCCCGGTCCCTCATAGAGATGGTACCCATGGCTGACTCTCACTTTGCAACACACGCTTCAGATCTTACTGTATTTGGAAGATATTCGTTTGGATGATGTTATTGTAACCACCTCACTTCTGTGAATTATCATGAAAAGTTCTTTAAGATTCTAATAGAAGAAGAAAAAAGATACTATTAATGTTATTTTGCCAAAAATATTTTTGTAGCATAATATATTAATAAAAGACATTATAAATTCAATGGGTTGGTGTCTTGTATGCTAAAGGACCCCTTCCTCCAATCAGGGGACATTTATGGAAAATTGTATTTGATGGGAGGGCCAAGACCTAAGGCAGTGGAACGGCGACCCACACATTTGCCAGGCAAAGAATAAGGCAGATCCTGGGAGGGGTTCGGGGTTGACAGGTTTGGGTAGAATCCAGTGGCTTGAGTGGTCCAGCTAGTCCTCCCATACCAGAATAAGCTGCCAACAGAGGTGGAGAAGCAAGAACCTGG